TTTCTAACCATTGTTGCAGAACTCTTTAAATATTTGGTCTCACAGGTTCTAAAAGCTGGCAGGCCAGGCTGCTCCCTGCAGGTTGTGAGACCAGAGCCTTCCAGAAAAGGAGCCAGTAAAATCCCAAGCATGTTAGCAGAGGGTAACAGCTGCACCATGCACCGCCCCCATGGGGCCGGGCTCCCAAGTGCTGAGGCCAGCAGCTCCCAGCCACTGTGGCCCGCAACCAGAAGGAGCTCTCATGCACCACATCATGGCCGATTCATAATTGTGGCGATGACAACAGATTAAACCACTGGCTCTCAGCACTGAGGACTGGGGTTTGTCAGGGTCACTCATTGTTCCCTTGCTTCTCCCAATTTTCCATAGTGAGAGAGCAAGTTTGGAGTCACTGCTACATTACAAATACTTGTTGGGAGCTCTCCGAGTTTTACTCTGTTTAGAAGGTAGTTCTCTTAGTAGCCCATACTGAAAGTCTCTCTTTCTTCCTGCGTTCCCTCAACATGAGATTCTGAAATGCTGTACCACTCAACATACATATGTATTTATTTATACCCTGCTTTAAAAAGAATGATTTAAGGAAAATTATATGTATATGCAGATATACATACAATGCAGTGAATTTTTTTTAAAATTAGGATATGGGGCAAAAGGAATGTGAGTAGGAAAATTAGGCACAGTCGGGATAAACTTTCACAGAGTTCAAACTACAAATAAGATCCTCTTGAGGCAAGTTGTAAATATTTTTTTTGAGTTTCCTGGCAGCCAAAGCAAAGAGGGAAACCTAAAAGGATAAAATTCACATGTTGTAAGATACAAACAAACCATCAGCTCAAGAAAAGAATGAGTCCTTGCACTGTGTAGACTTCCCCCATAAGTGCTCATAAAAGGGAAACTGAGTAATCAAAATGGCAAATCCCTCATCAGCTGGCCTGCAGTGAATAGCATAGCTGTTTGCTTAACTTCTCGCAGTGTCCCTTGGAGTAGGCTTGGTGGCAAGGCCCCATGTGGGACAAGGACTCCACTGGAGGCCTGTGCAGGGTGTTTCAGTGCAGTTCGTCGCTTCTCAAAGGGTACTCTCCTGAGGAACCTTGCATTTGGGAGGCGCTCTGCCTCAAAAAAGTGCCAAAATCAAATGAGTCTGGCAAGAACTATATGATACCAGCATGTTGATGGCTCTGAGAAGTCCTACAATTAAGAAGTTGGCCCAGCATTCCCCAAACTGATTTAATCACAAGACCTTTTTAAAAAATTGAAACACTTATTTGGCACTTTGAGAAACATTGATCTAAAACAGAGGTCAGCAAACTTCCTGCTAAGGGCCAGATAGATGTTTTAAGCATACAGTCTCTGTCATGACTACTCAACTCTGCCATTGTATCAAAAACATGGCAGTGTTCCAGTAAAGCTTCATTTATGGATACTGAAGTTTGAATTTCAGATAGTTTTCACGTGTCATGAAATAGTACTGTTCTTCTGATTTTTTTTTCAACCATTTAAAAATACAAAAAGCTTCTTAGCTTGCAGGCCATTCAGAAGAAGGTGCAGGCCTGATGTGGTCTGGGAGCTGGAGTTTGCCACCCCCGATCAAGAATAATGTGTGGATGGTGTGTCTTTCCAGCAAGCCTTCTTGAACACTGTTCCTCAGAGTTGTTTTAATGTAAACTTTTTTGGTTTGAGTGCTTCCAGGCTAGTCTAAGATTTTTCTCAGAAACAATTTGTGGGTCCTCTCAAAGAAGACATTTACAAACTAATAGCTGAAGCCTTAAAGTGTTACTGTGTCACATATGGCTGAAACAATTTGAGACTGAAAATGCTCCAGTGGACGTTATCAATCATTCATAGAAATAAAAGTCAGAACAGCCAGAGACATTTAATTTTAAGACAACATAATTTCCTAGTCCACTCTCCAAGTAAACCAGTAAACTGTGGCCCCCACCAAGCTAATAGACTGTTCTTTTTGATTTTTGACTAGAGAGAGGTTCTTTCAGCTTCTTATGATGTCATTATAATGAAAGAATGGGACCAAAACATTCCCACCACCAAATTGGACATTTCAGTTTCAGTTCAACAAGTATTTATTGAGTACTCAGTATATATAAAGCATTTTGCTAGCCTTTATGAGGGATACAAAAAGGAACAAGAAGCGGACAGTTCCTTGTTTCCCTTGTGAATCACGCTCAAGATCCTCACCAATTTAGAGCCCGTTACTGTGGTGTCAGGATTAATTTCACCTCCCTGTCCCTTCCTGTCAGCATGCTTTCTTTCATTCATTCAGCAAAGACTTGTGAGTTGTAGCCTCTGTTCATAGCGTTGGAACACAGCCTCCAGGGATCCTGCTTTCCAAGGGACACGTTTCTCTTTTCCTCTTGCACTCTGGCATAATTACAGCCTTTTATATAGGGGAACAGAAATTATTTCTTTATATCCTGAGACCTCAACATTTATGTTTCCCATACTGTGTGTGCCTCTCTTGGACTGTTTAGTGAGATGAGCAGATCTCCTGATGAACACTCCTCCTGGGACTGTGTTCCACATGCTCCTGTTCTCTCTGCCAGAGTGGCACCCACCTTTCCCTCTCCTCTTCTCTTCCTCTACCAGTGAGTTCATAGTTTGACCAGATTCATAATTTTAAAGCTATTGACTATATTAAGCAATACAAGTCTACAGGATTGCTAAACATCTTTATAAACAATATTATGTATCTGATGGACAATTATTTTTAATGGAAGGGGATTCTGTATAGTGCTAATTTTTTTGCCATTTTTAAAGGTAATACTTGGTTGTAGTGAAAATTTTGAAAGATATGGACAAGGATAAAAGAAAATTAATCCAGAATTTCAGCACCCATTGATCAATTCTGTTAACAATTAATGTATATTATTTACTTTTCTTGATTCAAAAATCACATTTAAAATTTTAAATTTTGAGGGCTGGCCCAGTGGTGAAGTGGTTAAGTTCGTGCACTCTGCTTCGGCGGCCCGGGGTTTATGGGTTTTAGATCCTAGGCATGGATCTAAACACTACTCGTCAAGCCATGCCATGGTAGCATCCCATATACAAAAGATAGAGGAAAGTTGGTGTAGATGTTAGCTCAGAGCCAATCTTCCTCACCAAAAAAAGAATAAAAAAGTTTTTTAATTTTTAAATTAATAAACAGTAACATTGACCTTTTTTTGTTGGACAGTTCTGTGAATTTTAAGACATGTATGGATTCATGAGCGTACCACCACAATCAAGATACAGAAAAATCTTATTCCCCCAGAACAAACACCCCTGTATAATCACAGCTTCCCTAGCCCCTGGCAGCTACTGATCTGCTCTCTGTCATACAATTTTGTCTTTTTGAGAATGTCATGTAAATGAAATCATATGTAAGCTTGTAAGAGTGGCTTCTTTAACTCAGCCTATTACCTTTGAAATTCATCCAAATTCTTGTGTATGTGAATAATTTGTTCCTTTTTATTGCTAAATGCTATTCCATTGTGTAGATGTACCATACGTTGGTTATCCATTTACCATTTAAGAGTCTTTTTAATGTTTTAACATTTCTGAAATCCTGAAATATATTAAAATCAATGTATATATTTAATGTGGTGGAGTTTTTTGTTTCCCTGAAAAGCTATTGTTGAATTGATGGTGTATCTTAGAATCAGTACTGTCTTAGAATCAAGGTATTGTGGTGGTGAGATGATCGGTGTGAGGGATCAGAGAGGGCTGTTGAGGGTTAATAACCCTCCTACTAGGAGTAAGGGAAGTGAGCGGTAAGGAGGCAGATAAAGGAAGGCCCTGAGACCTTTGCAGGCCAGAGCCCAGAGCAGCTTGGCAGCCTCTGAGAGCTTTGGGGAAGTTTTGAGTAGAGGGGCAACACAAGGAAAGATGTCTTTAAGAACAAAGCCAATCTAATTGTGGTGAGGACCATGATGTCCACCATCATCAGTGGTGATGAGTCAGGAGGACTGACTGCAGTGGCGAATGGCAGCAGTGGTGCTGCTAGTCCTGGAGGAAATGGAGGAAGAACTTGGAAAGAGTCCAGGGGAAGCAGGGAGTGCTAATAGAGAGCTGTGTGTGGGGAGGGGAGGGTGGTTCCTGCTGAATACCTCAACCTCCAGGCCAGCGCCTGGAGAGGAAAGGGCAGGAGGTGTGGGGAACTGAGGACAGACTTTGCCCAGATCTTAGGTATTTGCATGGTAGGAATGGGTGGGCTGGGTAGGGCATGTTATCTGGGAAACTCTAAAGCAAAATGAGAATGTCCTAGGGCTTCACAGATTAAGAGTGAGATGTGCTTTGGGATACTGTGTGAAGAGAAATGGGCATAGGGTGTACTTGATTCTATGAGCTTGGGTGAAATATACGATTATTCCATGGAAACAAACTGTGAGTAGGGCCATTTCCAAGTGAAATTGTATTACGGCTAACTGTAGGGCCCAAATTTTTTTGCAAAAGTTATTTTTGGGTCCTATCCCTCTGTGTCACAACAAGACAGGTGATTTATTCTTTGGCACACACCACTTTTGCAAGAAAGGAGAAGGAGGAGTAAATCATACTCATTTAGATCCTTGAAGGACATCCATCAGTGACTGAAGAGGGAGGCAAAAGTAGGAATTGACCATTGGAGAGTAATTTACCAAAGGGACTTGCCCCTTTTTTGTCAGATTACTCTTCTTGGGAAGCCTCATTCGTGGAAGCTGCCTCATTTCCATCTGCTTGCACTTATTCTTGCTCAGGATCAGGGAGGAGTTGGTGCCAGTTCACAGAAAGGAGAAGAAAGACCCTCAGAGATAGTATGGAGCCTTGTTCCCTTCCCCCATTTGTCTCTCCCCAGTCTCACGTTTTACTAAAGACCTCCTTCTCAGAGAGACATTATAGAAGTTACTCTTCACTTTGCCTACCATTTGCACATTTGCAAAGTAAAATAACTGTTCTTTAAAGCTATACTACAATGGGGTAAAGTTTCTCTTATTTGTGGCATTGCTAATTGTATCTTCAATCTTTCCTAGAAAAGACTGTATCTTCACCATTGATCCGTCAACTGCCCGCGACCTTGATGATGCCCTCTCCTGCAAGCCACTCACTGATGGTAGGACAGAAATTTCTATACCATTCTGGGTAGCAGGCAGAGTGCATACCTGTGTGGTCGGCCTGGCTGCCTTGTACTCCCTAGGCAGCGTGATGTGCAAAGTTGAGTTTGCTTTGTTCCTGAACTTGCCATAGGCCCCTGAGCCCACCCAAGTATGTGACATAAAGATTATGTTCCTGTGGTGACTTTGGTGAGGGTGAGAATAAGAAATGTCCTCTCACCAGGACCCTTCTTGGGCCTCAGAAGAGGCAGAAGTGAGGGCAGAGGGACTGATTCCAGACCTTGGCCCTTCAGGAAGTTCCAGGTTGGGTGTGATGTGTTAAAGAAAAGAGCCTCTAAGCTCTGCTTAGGAGAAGCATAGGGTTCTTTGCCTGAATTTAACAGATTGGGGTGAGTCCAGGGGTACTCTCTGAAGGCATACTCAGCAGTGGGTGGTAGGAACATCTTCCCTGAGGAGTGCCCCTCGCAGTCTGAGTGGAGAAGCCTGCAATGCTCCCAGTACGTCTTCATCTATCCAGCAAATTGCAAGAAGCAGCCATTAGGGGTTCTTTAAACATTCTTTTGGGATGGAGCTAAGCAGCAAAAAGTGGGATTTGAGGCCAGTGGTCTTTGAAAACCACACTGGGGGAAAGGGAAAGTGTGTGTGGTATGAGAAGAGTAATCTCTGTCAATCCCCTTTCTAGGGCCCGCCTAGATGTGCTGCTTTAGCTACTTCTGCCCCTCTCTAAGGGCGGTGTCTAGGTGACTGCTTTGGCTTTAGTCATTCTCGGATATGGCTTTAGCACTAACACGGCCTTTGACGGCTTGCCCGTGATGAGTATCCACCCTTGCGGTTTCAATCTGCTGCAAAGTGTTGATGGCCCAGTGGCCTGGTCTTTTAAAACATTGCAGAGGTGTTCACATGTTCCGTTGACACAGAACTCCGTGGGTTCAATGTGTAATCTCTTCTGTGCTATAGTAGGCAGTGAAGCTTAGTAGACAGAAGGCTGAGAGACAGAAAGCATCATTGCCTAAGAAGCTTTTATCTTCTTTTAGTGGGAGTCCTCTTTGACACTGGGTGAGATTGCTCAGTATTTTCAATTAAAGAAAATTGAAAGGAAGATAAAGCATAAAGAGAGAAAAGTCCCCACAGAAATTTTAGAGGAATTATATATTTTTAAAATCCAAAATTTGAGCAGCCTGCTTTAAAAAGCAAATACAGGATTGGTTTCTTATATTCTGAGCAATCTCGGCTGCATGCAAAGGCTGGGGCATAGCGCTGTCTCTGTGAGCTCCACTGCCCTGAGTCCCTGTGTGAAGAGTGTCCCCAGGCAGAAAGCCAGGTGATGGGGGACCTCAATTCCTGTATTTCCCTTCTCTCCAGGTTCACAGCCCTGCTCTATCTGTAGCCTAATGCTTGAGAACAGTTGTTTCATTTATTTTGTCTACTTTTAGAGTTGTTAATGGCAGAAGGATAGGTCTAATACCTGTTACTCCATCTCAGCTGGCCCAGATGATATTCCCCTTGCAAGGACAGCAGGGAGCAGGCACATGTCCTGCCCTTCTCACTCTACACAGTGTTTCATGTCTAGGATACCAGATTACTGGCAGAGGTTTCATGTAGGGAAATGGTAAAAGTTAGGGCAGGAAAAGTAGAATGGGGACGAATTGTACACATTTGTAGGTTTCCAACCAAAGAGTGTTCTTCGTCAGACAAATGAAGACCAGTTGCTTTCAACCTGTTGTCCAGGTACCGTAGCCAAAGTGAGGAAGATAGCTTAGCAGTACGAGATGAAGGAAGAGCAGAGGAAGTAGAGGCAGAGAAACATGGTTATCGTTTAGGGATGTAGGTAATAAGAAACTGGACTGGAGATGGTGACAGTTTTAATGGGGGTAGGGAGGACAGATGTGAGAAGAGGGTAATGACAGAAGAATCAATGGAAATGGATGTTGCAGTTGAGGGAGAGGAGTTCAAGATGGGGCACAAGTTTCAACCTGGGTGATGAGGAGATGGAATCCACAAGTTAGAAACTGGGAAGGCAGGAGGACAAGCTGGTTTGGGAGAGACTATGTCTACATGGAGTTGGCTGTCTGTTGATATGTATTTCTGTAAGCTGCTGCAAATCCTTTTCAGAGGAGGTGAGGGACAAATAAGCTAATTGTATGTAGTCCATCTAACTATATACAGAGAGAGCCCTGAAGAAATATAGACAAAGCACCAAAATGCAAAGAGTGATTATGTTAGGATGATGGGATCATAAGTGATTTTTCTCTTCTCTAGTTTCCAAATTTTTATAATATGGTAATAATAGTTTTATAATGAAAAAAATTTTGTAATAAAAAAATTTTGAGGTGCCAGGAATCACAGGCTGCCCAGTAGTGCACTGCACCAGGTGATCAGATACCTTCCATCTGCTTGGTTCTTCTTGCATTCCAGAGGAGTAATTAGCATCCGGTCATTTGGCCGAGTAGCAGAAAAAGGACATGGAAAAGGAGTCAGGGAAGAATCTGAAAAAACCTGAGCTGGTCAGTCGAGTGTTTTTATGGTGGCACTTCTACAGTTGGCCTTTGCGACAGCAGTTTCTGCCAAGGCCATTTATCCAGGGAGATGAAAAGTGAAAGTCTGTTCCAGTTTGGATTGGGGTGAGGTTGGCTGAGTTCAGGTTCCGTTAGTTACCAGTTCATGTCAACTCTTGCTTAGAGGAAAAAATGTTTAATGTTTCAGAAAGCAAATGATGTTTTCTGGGCATATTCACATTATCTATAACCATTTGTATTTAAAGAATATATAAAGGTCCAGCTTTCCTTTGGTCCCATTGAAATCATGTGAATGACTATTCTGTGAAAATAAAACATGCAGACAGATGTAACTTATTTAGTCCTGACTTTCCCTTTCTGTGGAGTTCAGATGTACCCCCAGGATTTGTTACCACCGTCTCCTGTAGATGCGAGACTCAGAAATTACAGTCTGCAGATAAATTCTGCAGAAATGCAGTGACACCTGTTTCTAGTAGGTCGTGATTAGGTTGGAAGACTGAGGAGGGAGTGCCCCCTACTCTTGAGGAATCTCAGCTTTGGAAGGAATTCTGCCAGTCCTCCAGCCTGGTAATTCCCCGCTTCTTGTAGTCTATAAACACTCTTGAGTGGAACATTCCCATGAGCATTCCTCAGCCAGCTAACTTTAACGTGGAGTCTTCCACTTTTACTCAAGAAAATATTTAATAGTGTAAGTGAATGAGTGGTGTATCATGATAACCCAGAACCTGAAGACAGGAAATCACGCACTTCAGTGTTTTATTACTGTAACAGATCATTTGCAACACACCTCACAGTTGACCTCACCACTCAGATGTGGGAATACCACAGTTGTCGCATCATCCTCTGTTTTTCAGATTACCTCTAGAGCATCCACTTATTGAATATCCAGATTGCATTTTTAACTCTACCTTACAAGCAGCCCATTTGGCCTAAATATTGCATGACTATTAGGAAATCCTTCCTTGTAATGATTTGAAATACTGCTGACTTCCTGTACTTTTCTACCTATTGGTCCCATTTATGCTCCTTTAGTCTCTATAGAACAAGTCTTGTCTGTCATGTGGCAGCTCCTCAGATGTTAGATAACAGCTTTCATGTATACCTCAGTCACAACTTCTTGGCTAACCATCCTGTGTATTCTTCCATGTTCTGTAGCTTATGAAGTTTGAGCCTGTTTCCCAAGTCATGGAGTTACTTCCGTTTTTATGAGGTCTGATGTACATGGCTGCTATATCCAGACTCCTCTTTTCTGGCTGTCCAGGCGTGGTGACTCTCTCCCAGCTAGTTCTTCCTTATTGAGGATTGAGTCCAGAGTGATAACCACCCATTCTGTTCAATTAAACAAGCACTATTGCTTTGCTCTAGCCTCTGAGGGAGGAAATTGTCAGCCAGCCAGGCAGGACCTTTATTCAGCTTTTAGGTGATTCAGGCCCCCAACAGATCCTACAGGAAATTGATGTTCACCGCTTCTCTAGCTTCTTGTTTCTCTAATGTTTTATTCTCTGAGTGCTCTGCCATTGAACATGGCAGGATTGTCCTAGCCAGGCCTTAGAAATGAAGGACTGGGGCTAGGGAGAGAGGGGAATGGAGAACGACTGCTAATGGGTTTGGGGTTTCTTTTGGGAGTGATGAAAATTTTCTGGAATTAGCTGTACAGTTGACAGTTGTACTTTGTGAATATACTAAAAACTGCTGGGGGAAAATGAGTGAATGGCTGAATGAATAAGAATAAATAAACAAACAAATCCATTTATCCTTGAGGCTTTCTGCAATTTGGAATTTACACCTTAACCTTAACTTAGCAGGAATGCTGGACTGGCTAACCATAGTCACATCCCTCTTGTGTGTCTCTCCTCCTTGCTGCTTTCGTCTCTGAACTGTGAAATTCTCATCCAAGGAGCACACCCCTCTGCTCAGCCACCTGCTCATATGAGCAGGAACTTAGCTCCCTGAACTTAGCCATCTGACTCAAAGAAAGAAGTATCTGTCCTGCTGTCCCCTAATAAGAAAATGCTCAGATAAATGGACATCAGCCAGCCAGAGGGACCTGAGGAATGCAAACTACCTACTATGCTGTAGGGGGCGCCAATCTTCCCACTGATTTGCCTCTGTTACCTGGCTTTCTCTTCTCTGAGGGGGTAGGGAGCTCTCTCCCCAGGAGTCCTTCTCAGGGAATAGGAACAGGAGACCAGGAGCAAAGCCTGTAAGAGTCTCATAGAATTCCTAAACTCTGTAACTTCCCCTTATGATTATATTTGTCACCTGCTGAGAGTCTGTAATCATGACTGATGGCCTTTAGAGACAGTGAGGAGAGACTGTGCCCTGCTGTGTGCCAGGCTTAGACCAGACAACCTGAGGGATAGAATTGGCGGTAGTGGTTTTAAAGAACAAGGAGCTGAGATGAAGTCTCTGGATCTGCTACTCAGAAGGAAAAGAGAGCATGGGAGTCCTGGAGCTTATTCGTGACAGGTTCGTGAGTAACA